CTAATAAAACATATCCACTTCAAAAATATTTAACTTTTAAATATTCATTATACATAATTACAAGTTCCATCAATTCTCACAACAACTTCTAAAAGTATATATACAACAACTTCCAGAACTATTTCTATCTAGTAATACAGAACATCACAACAACAAAAATCTCTAAAAACCATAAACTTCACACAAAATAAACTAATGCAATATACCTTATATAATTCTCGTCTCAAGAATGTATTGACACCAGTCCTCCTTAATTTTTTCATGTTTATCTTTCGAGTAAGTAGCAAACTTAAATTCATCAAAGTACTACATAATAAAATATAATATGCATAATTTAGTTAAAACTAATTAATATTAGATGAAACATCCACTAAATATTAAAATAAATCCGAACTTATAAATCCATACCGTGTTTGGAATCTCTATTTGACCCAAATGAAGAGTTTCCTTCATAAACCTCAATACAAAATAACCGCAACCTATACCATTACACTGACGAGATAGGAAAAAACAAATATATATCAGGATATATAGTTTAACTCGTTTTATCAAGTAGCATAACTATTATAATCAAAATTATGAAAATATATACCTGCACTCTGATCCATGTAATGTTGTTTGCTTTACTCTTTGGTACTCAAGTTTGTCTATGTGATCGGAATATGTGTAACGATCTAACATAATATAAACGAACATTTAGAACAATCTCACATAAAAAATAAATATACACACGAATATTCAGAACAATCTCATCACATATGTATAAACCATCTTCTTCATATCTGGGTATTTTGTTTGATCACCATCTAACGAATCTATATAATATATTATTTCTCTTATTAGATTAATCGCAATCAACAACTAGTGTCCACTACAAAATAATACAAAAGTTTAGATGGAAATTTTCTATACAACGGCAAAATGAATAATTATAATAAATGAAATTAGAATGAATGCTAACCCATGGCCAGTATTATATGGAAAAAAATACAAGTTTTCTATATCTCTATTGGTCATAAATGCATCGACTAAGTGATTTTGGTCTGCATTTGGACTTTGTTCGATTAACTGTACGTTGATACAACTAGCATATAAGAATGAGAATCTGTCTGTCAATTGACGCAGGAGCATCAATTTGTCATACAAGAGCCTTAAATAAAAACATAATCAACATTAGAATATTAATTGAAATGAGTAAATAAATTGTTCAATTATTTAAATAAAATTGATCGGAGTACCTGATTTATGAATGCATAACACTGATGCCTAATTCAAAATGTTGAAAAATCTGATCCAAATCCTCTTTAGTAATTGTTTCGGTATAAGCAAAACCGAAAATACCTTCCTCCATATGTATTTCACGAATACCACCTTCCATCACATCTGTTGTTCCTACATATGTTTCAAGGCACAACTTAAATCGAGGAACAAATGTTTTTTTAGGCTCGGTCTTCGCAAGATTCTTTTTTATTTACACATTGCTAAATTCAGGCATGATATTCTTGCTGACTTGTTGCAACTCTTGAGCATGAACCTAAAAATCATATAAGTTAAGTAATTAATGTATAAGATTATGAAGCTTTTGAATTCAGAGGATATAATATAATTGTTACTTTTTGATGTAGCTGATCCGGTTTGCCGCACAGTCTCCTTATCTTTTGATTTAGATTTTGTAAGAGTATAAGATTACCATGTAAATTAAAGGTACGTAAATATAAGAATAAATTACATGCATGGCTCATAAAATATTTGAATACTAAAAGGTTCATAATGGTGTTCAATATACCTCATCATCTATGAAAATGAGGTTTGATGGCCATGCAACATACGATCCTATTGCGTCTTCCACCAATGTTACATCTGAAACATCGTCTGGTATAGGTAATAACGCATCCCCCTGTAAAGAAATATCAATCAAGACTTTCAAAAATCCAACAGGGTGCGGTTTATGGTGAAGTAAGTCTCCCAAAGTGTTATGCACCTTTCCCTTACCAACCATGCGATAAGTCGATGACGATAAATATAGCTGACAAGGTGAAATGCCCTAAACCAATAATAAATATGATTAATTACGTAAATATGGAAATTAAAAAAATTGTGATAAATTAATTTCAAGTTAATATATATAATTACCTCGAGAATATTCTGTTGAAAATTACAATTGATATTATCTTTGTCACTAGTATCTTTAAATTCTGAACCGCGCCTTTTTGACATATATCTTTCTTTATCGTTTTGCAATTCACGAATTTGAGCTTTTAATTCTTCCAACGATTCCATCACTTGTTTATTGCTAGGAATTTTACTCTTTGGATACTTATACAATGATGTTGGAGTGACCTAAAATACCTTACCCCTCACACGACCAGAATACTTAGGAACATTTAATACGCGACTTAGTGCACTCCTACAATTATAGTCTTCATCTGAAGTTAAGGACTGAGATAGATTCTCCTGAAATTCATATGCATATAGAAAAATATTAGTGGGGGATTAAAAAGCATAAATATTATATGTTAATGAACTTTTGATTTTATTAATGTTATACTTACACATTGCTCAAAAACTTGTTGAGCATCTTCCTGAACAACTCCATCCTTACCCACACGAGCAGCCTTCCGCAAAACAAGTTCCGGGAGAGATTTTTCTTCACTTTTCTCCTCTTCTAACTACACATTAATAAAAATATTAAGATAAATTATAACGTACATGTTCCAGAAGAGAGATGCACTTTTCTCCTATTCTTACTATATCATTGTAAAACATTTATATATACTTACTATTCCTTGTCGTAAGCGTGCATATCCCAAACACCCTTTTTGTATAGATATGCAGGTTTTGATGTTCGTTGGCGATTTATGTCACTCACAGCCTAGATAAACAAGTTTAAGTCATATCAGAACACATGTGTAACAAGAATATATTTTATACAATGTTCATGATAAGTAAAAATTACATGGAATTCTTGGGTTCTTCGTTTGGCAACAAAAGTTTCTCATTCTTCAGGTGAAATCAAATCTGCATACTTCTTTGGACGTTCTGATTGAACAAAATTTCCATCAGAATCCTTAAGAAACTTGTTCGTTAAAAATGCTCGAAACCCTCTGAGTATTTTTCTGGTCAATTGAAGACAATATTTTTTTCACTCGTCACCAATGTTAACATACATAGAGTGTGTTAGTATAAGTAATTTAAAGACATAATCGTCAACAAAAACAAATAACTTCGCATATGATACGTGTATCTCACTCCATAATTTTTCATTAGCGGATTTCAACGATGGAGTTCTCCAATTATCACAAGTGATTGGAATTTGTGCCCCAATGTAACTTGTCAACATTGCACCGTTAGGCTCAACTAATTGGTCTATTTCATTCCAATGTACGTCATATTTTATACCTTTATCTCTTGCACGAATTATTCCCTTCATAACCATTATTCCTTGTTTAATATCTCCTTCCACATCGTGTACTGATTCGTTTCCATCATTTTTAGAAGTATCATGTGCATTTTCCTCGTTGCTAGCATTTAACTTGTAATAAAGAAAAACATAAATATGAAATGACAAATATTAACATCCATAATCCATAATCCATTGAATATATAAAATTAAAAATATATAATTATATTGCAAAACCGATTTAAAAACCATGTTGTAGTTTACTTTTTAAATAGGTTGGATACTAAAACCGATGTAAAATCCATGTTTTTTGTTTTAACTTTTGGGGGGCTTTTAAAATCGGTTGGTACCGTAACCGATCTAAAAACCCTTTAAATAATTTTTTCCAATTTTTTTTAATATTGTTTTTTAAATCGGTTGAAAATATAACCGATTTAAAAACCCTTTAAACAATTTTTTTCAATTTTTGGGGGGCTTTTTAAATCGGTTGGTACCGTACCCGATTTAAAAACCCTTTAAATAATTTTTTTCAATTTTTTTTTAATATTATTTTTTAAATCGGTTGGAAATATACCCGATTTAAAACCCCTTTAAATAATTTTTTTCAATTTTTTTTAACATTGTTTTTTAAATCGGTTGGATTGATACCCGATTTAGAAACCCTTTTAATAATTTTTTTTAATTTTTTACATCAGTGGATTAATTTGCCCGATGTAAAAGATCTAATAAAATTTTTTTTTATTATTTACGATACTGCCACCGTGTTTATAATTTCACATTTTACATCGCTTTGAGTGAATACCCGATGTAAAAATATTTTGTCAAAAGTCTTTTTTTTAGTAGTGAAACTTTTTATAAATTGTATCTTTAACAAGTGTGAAACTTGAATTTTTCCCAATAAACAGTAAATAGTCCGAATTTTTGATATATATGAGACTTAGTTTTTCCAATAATTCAATGCGCGGTTGAGATCATAAAACTTGTAAACAACAGTATTATGCTTCTAAATTCGAATTACAACTTTATTCATAAATGATTAGTCTCACTCATTCTAATTTACAATTGATTTTACCGTGAGCGAGACCAACCATTTATGTTTGATCCAAGCCTACTTGCCTAAAATTATTGAGTCATATTCATCAAATATTATCTTTAAGCCTAAGTTAATATGATTTAATATTATAAGGTATGTGCAAAACTATAATATGGTGCATATGTACATAGTTTAGTCGCTTGAAATAGAAGTGGAAAAGTTCAAGTTAATAACAAATAACGAAAATCTACAGAAGAGAAGAAAAGTACAAAAGAATAACCAACAATCGTGCCTTATTGGTAGAAATCCCTCATTTATTAAAGCTTCACGTACGAAACTAGCGGAGCACAGAAAAAGTGCCTTGACAAAGTTGCTACAACCCTTCCAACTCAGCTTGATTTAAACCATTTATGCATGTCTCACCACTCCTTTATCAGATTCTTCTTTTCACACTATGCAAATTCAAACCACCTCAACTATTACATTTATATATAAATAGGTCATATTACACTGTCATTTCAAAACCAAGACAGTGAGTTATTGCATAAAACTTAGCCATTAATCACCATGGGAGGTGGTAATAGGCAGAACAAGTCTTCACCAGGTTTCTTCTCTATTTTCGCATGCTTCACATCTAAGAATAAGCATGGAGCAGGTTACTATGATTACGATACTGGGCGCCGAACATGGCCTAGCGATGAAGACAAAGGTAACTGGGGTGTTGCTGAGCCAAATATTAATAGGAAAGCCGAAGATTTCATCCGCAAATACAAGAATCGCGTTTCAGAATCCGAACGCTATGAAGTTGATCCTGCTGCCTAGAATTTGTAATACTATCAATCACCTAGCATCATATGTATATATTTCATTATTTACTATTTCTCAAGATTATCGTTTGTTAGGGTAATCAGTATCAATTGCTTCTACACTATAAGAAGTTTAACTTGTACTCAGTATGTGGTATTGTCGATCTATGTACATAGTTGCACTTGGTTCAACTATGAACATATTATATGCTTAATTTCAATTTAATATATTTCAATGGTCTTTGCACTTTGTAAAAAGTTTAATTGGGGTGAAGTAACTTCCAAACCAACTTAATATATAACTTGTTCCAATTTCTTCATCTTGAGGATTTCTTTCTCAACAAGTTCAATTGAACCACGTACATGACTTTTTAATATTCTAATCTCTAGGAGAAAAGACTTTGATAATTCAAAGTTCACTTGTGAAATAAATAAAACATGAGACAAATATTTATTCAAATTAAGTTACATTCAGTTTGAATATCAAATACTAAATTGTACCTTAACTTATTTATTAATTTGATTTTGAACTCATCAATAAATGTTGATATGTTTAGATTGCTTTTAGTTTGACCACCATTTGTCAAACTTTGAATTTCAATTCAAATTAATAAAATCATTTTATTAAGTTATGAAATCATTTTAGTAAGTCATGAAATCAAGAAATCATTTGAGTTATGTCATGGTTGAAACATTACAGAGTAATCATCCTTCTTTATATCTTCCTAATGAAGAGGAAAATAATGATAAAACCTATTAAGAATGAGACATAGATTTTGGGAATCAGTTGAGTAAGAGAAAGGTACTAAACACCCCTCACATCCATTGTACTCAACAGGATCCTTATCTAATCTTAGAGTTAGCTATGTCTAAAGGATGTTTGTTCATATTACTTAGTTTTGTTTAATGTATTTATTTGTTTATTAACGGTAAATTAGATAATTGAGAAAAATAGTTTAATGATAAATGGACAAAGAAAATGTTTTGGTTATTGTACTCGTTAGAGTGCTACGACTCAATACCTTCATAGCTTTATGTTTAATGAAGGATCAGAGCACCGTAACTCTTCTAAATAAAGGTTTGTTTGTTTTGGTTGATTTTAGATTTTGAAAAATTCTCAACGTATCGAGAATAGAGAAGTGCTTGATTTGAAAAAATGCATCAATACACAGCGACAAAGGACTTAAGATTTAAGTAAGTGGAATTGATTTAAATATATTGATTTTCTTGCAAAAAAAATACAATAATTTGTTGAATTTGAGAAGATAAACTAAAAATATATATAGTAATTTTAACAAGAAAAAAAGGTCAATTAAATTAAAACAAGATAGCGTATCCCTTATCCCTAGTTATTTATCCCAAATTCAATTAATCAAACTCCTAAAATTATCCTAGAAATTAATCTCATTAATATTCCAAAATTATTCCAAAGTCAACCCTAATTTTCTAATTAATTAATATTTATAATTAATTATATTTTCCTTTATTATTTTTTTTTATTGATTATAAATAAATAAATAATTACTAAATTATTATCATAAATAAATAAAATTATGCAAACTAAACAAACCTAATTATCCTAATTATACTAATTAAATTACTAATCTCTAATTATCCTGGTCCAATTTTATTTGTAATCGTGATTTTTGATGTATCTGTAATATTATTTCAGAAAGATTTGATATCTTTTCTATTCAATTTGATCGATCCAGTTATGGTTCTGTTCTTGCGCATATTAGGGTTTGTGAGAAATTGAGATGACCTGATATCTTGTTTGATCAGGTTCATCTCTTAGAAACATAACAAAATTAATATTTAATATTTCGATAATAACCCTGATTATAAATTAATATATATAATGTTAATAATATTAAAAAACCTATTAACTTTTAACGAAATATTTACTTAGAATAACCAATTTTTTTTTTAATAATAATTCTAAAGTAATAATTATTTGATTGATTAATAATAGTAATAAAATCTATAACTTAATAATAATAAGAAAATCCAGTGTTAATAATACCCTAAGTCATAATAGTAATATTAATAATAACGGCACTTAGAAAATAATATTACTAACAAGACTTGATACCCTAATAATAATAGCTTAAATAATAATATCTTTAATAATACTCCTAATAATAATACCAGTAAATAATAACTTTAATAATACTTTAAATATGTTAGAAAGATCTTAAAGTTTCACATTGGTTGCAGATAGAGCATTGAAATAGTTTATATAGATTGACACCCCTCACCTTACTAACCGGTTTTGTAAGGTTGTATTAGCCCAAACTCTAATATACTATCAGAGTCTATCGATCGGACCTTGCGCAACGTACTTTGTAAGATTGTGTTAGGCCAAACTCTAATAAAATAAAACTAATAATACTAATAGAACTAATAATAATATTCCTTTAACTAAATAACATGGACATTAACAATCCTTTAATAATGCTAAAGTAATTTAAACCCTATTTTTAATGTTCAAAATAATACAAATTACGTTTTCACGGCTTACTAATAAATCCTAATTTTCTAATAGAGTTAGATGTTAGATAGGTAGAAAGCTTTGGATTCTAAAATTGCAATAAGAAAATCGTTAATGACAGACCAAAACTCTCTTAAAAATAAAAAGTCTGTGAGATATTGGATCGAACTCTAGTATGGCCGAAGGGTAGCTTATAGTTTAACAGGAATTAAGCATGAGGTTGAAGTCTGTTCACATGCTGCTGTTGAAGATAATGCGTGTTGTAGTCGAAGTTTGTTCTAACATGCATTAGTCAATATTGCTAGGTTGTTAGCATCTTGGATTGAGTCTTGCTTGTAAGCCCAAGTGTTTAAGTTAGATTGTACCCTAAGTTAACTCATAATGGGTAATTGTTAAAAAGCCCATTAGGTTAGTGTGCTATTTTTCTTATAAATAGGATGCTAGTTTCTCAATCGTGGCATAAGGAAAAATAGGAAGATAAAATCCTAATTTAAAGAGAGAGAGGTTATTTTGTTACTCTTGTATACTTGTAATCTTGTTCTAAGAGTAAGGAAAGAATAATAGTTTATAACCAATCATTGTTGTTCCTTGTTGTTTTACCTTATTATCTTTGTTAACCCTAACCCTTGTGTGTTTCTTGATCATAAAGAAACCGTTTATATTTTGTTTCAAGACATCCAATTCACAACAAATTAGTGTGGTGAGTGTGGAGAAGATGCCTTCAATAAAGTATGAGATTGAAAAGTTCACCGGAGTGAACGACTTATGTCTGTGGCACTTGAAGATAAAAGTCCTACTGGTTTAACAGGGTTGTTTGGAAGCGTTGAAGGGTGAGGCAGTCATGGACGCTGCATTAACGACAAAAGAAAAGACGGGCATGATCGAGAAATTCCACAGTGCAATATTGTTGAGCCTTGGTGATAAGCTTTTTCGACAGGTATCAAATGAGACTACAACATCGGGATTATGGGTGAAATTTGAAAGTTTGTACATGACCAAATCTCTGGTTAATCGACTCTACCTGAAGCAAGCTTTATATTCATTCAAGATGAGTGAAGATAAAATGTTGGCTGAGCGGTTGGATATGTTCAACAAGCTGATTCTTGATTTTGAAAATATTGATGTGAAGATCGACGATAAAGATTAGGCACTGTTGTTGTTGTGTGCTTTACCCAGAACACATGCTCACTTCAAAGAAACTCTCTTGTATGGAAGAGAGTCCCTGACCTTTGAAGAAATTCAATAAGCCTTGTATTCCAAGGACTTGAACGAACGAAAGGAGCATAAACCTTCGACGGTGGACGACGGTTTAGTCGTTAAGGGAAATTATTGTGAAAGGATGGTAAGTTCAACAAGAAGAAAGGTAAAAATCAACAGAAATCTTATAGTGGTGAAACATCTGATATTTGATGTTATCATTGTAAGAAGGAGGGTCACACAAGAAAGGTGTACCCAGAACGCCTGAAAGATCATGGAGGTAATGACAATGCAACCATTGTTCAAGATGACTTTGACTCATCTGATGTTCTTGTGGTTTCAATTGGCGACTCGAGAAAAGAGTGGATTATGGATTCAGGTAGCACATGGCACATGACTCCAAATAGAGAATTGTTAGAATACAGATTGGTTCTTAATAATATCTCTATGTTTTGATGATAACTATTATGAAATTTTGTAATTAAGAATTATATACTCTAAAATTTGCTTGAGAATTTTTACTGCAGATAGTAAAGGAATTAACACTCAAGAAGCAAATCAGAATTGAACATAAGAAATTAGCTAGACTCTGAAGCGCTAGATGCATCCATTAGAAGATTCTGATTGCTGCCAACAGAAGATCCTAAGCGTAGCCTCCAGAAGATTCTGAAGCAGAAGCTCCAGAAGGATCTAAAGCAGAAGCTCCAGAAGAATCTGAAGCAAGTCAGAAGCATCTGAACCAAAGAAGAATTCTGTATGAAGAGTTTTTCAAAGCATAGTTACTACAGAAGATTCTGAAAGTACTAAAGCTGCCAGTACTGAAGATCTGTATCAAATATGCTCTGATCTTAAACACGCTAAAAGCACACCTGCTGCAGAAGACTCTGATTCAGCAAAACTCTAATTATCATCAGAAGACTCTGATCAATTTAGACTCTGATGAATTTGCTGAAAACTGAAGAAGAATTATTCAAAGTTTATATCCGTTGGAATGATCCAAACGACTCTTTCCTTATTTATGCTAGACACAAGAACACAGACAAAAAGGATTTTTCTGTGCTTTCTTCTTCTAGGAAAGGTCACTTGATGTGAAGACAAAAAAAGGCTCAGACCTTTTGGACACTCTTCTCAACATGAAGCTCACCTTGGATCAACTGCCTATAAAAGCAAGACTTGACCCAATTTCTTTAGTTGACGTTTTATCCAAAAAGAAATCAACATTCAAGCTCTCATACTATTCATATTCTTTCTAAGAATTAATTTCTTTGTTCTAAATAGTTAAGTGAAAAATCACAGTTGTGATAAAGCTTTATAGAAGCAATCTTAAA